ATATTTCAGTTGTGTTAGAATGGAAATGCATTTTTCGGACAAAATGTAGTAAAATCTTCATATTTTTGGACGCAAGAGACAAGAAAAAAAATGTTTAAAATAGTTGAAATTCCTATTACTGAGAGAAACAGAAATAATTCTCTTTAATTTATATAAGTCTTATATATTATCCAACATAAAAAATTATAATTGCATCAAATCTATAAAAATAATTAATACTCAATTGTTACATTTAATAACAATGATAACAAGTTTCTGAATGAAATATTGCCATTGGCGTATAAGGTATTTCTCCCCCCTTCTATCATGCCTGGTCAGCACACTCGGTGAGTACTCGAGAGGCCCGAAGTTCGAGTCCCGGCGAGGGCATTACTCATTTTTCACATTTTCTGCATCAAAATAATGTCTCTGCAGTGGTGCTCGAACTAAAAATGGTGAAGGATGATGATTCTCCACCACCAGGATTTGGCGATTGGGTCCCCTAATCCCTAGTCGTCCTTTAAAAGGGGAACTATATATAAGGTATTTCTCTGCTTTCTTAGCATGCCTTCGTGGTGTAATGGCCAGCACACTCAGCGCGTATTCGAGACGTCCGAGGTTCAAGTTACGGGGAGGGCATTACTCGTTTTACAAGTCTCCTGCTTCAGAATAATCCTAATGACTCTACAGGCGCATCTTCAACACTTTTTGCAAAGCAGCTATCTTATTCATTTTCTTGGGCTAGGGCTCTTGGTTGGTTTTTAAATCATCTTTACAGTTTTTGGTTTCTTTATGATATTCTTCCATGTTTACCATCATTTTATCACAGGTTAGATTCCTTCAACTGATTGTGGCTAACTATATCCCAATAAACTTTAAAAAAGAAAACGCTTGCGCTTCCTTTATGCATATTTGGTAGATAATCGACGAAAACTCTCATATAGCTTACCATTCCATCGTGATTACACTTGAATAAAACTGCTTATTCTCAGAAATTCTATCATTTTAACTGTTGCTAGACCTATTTCATTACTCATCCACGATCGACCCTTTCAAGCTCAGAGGAGAATTATGAATACATTTCTACGCATTTCCAACGTTCTAGATGAATTTAAAAGGGATTTGCTTCAATATGGAATTGATTTGCCAAAAGATTTATTTTCTTGAAATAGGAAATAGACTAGAACTATCTGCATTTTTTTAAAAATAATTTGCTGTAGTCTTTCAAAACTAATTGCAAGATAAATTCAAAATAAATAATAAAGATCATCTTCATCATCGTTTCTTTGAAACAGAAAATAGTTCGTCTGAATATGTGTATCATTAATCGATAGCTCACAGATGGCTGTGGCAGTAGTTGTATCGTTGGGAGAAAGAAAGACAAGATTCGCGGCGGGGTAAGAAATGAATATTCTCGAACGTTTTCAAGACCTAGAATTTGCATTAACAGCTCTGCGATCCAATATTTACGTTGACATTTGGAGGGGGTAAGCATACAAAAAACAAAGGACACAAATAGCTAGCATCTGATTCACTAAACATTATATCACATATTTTTTTATTTAACATTTACTCTTGTAAAAAATTGGGAAACGTATTCAACATTATTCCAGATCAATATTACCATTTAACTGGATTACGAATATAAGTTTTTTTTTTCATTAAAAAATTTCTTTCGGCATCAAAATTGTTAATTGGCATTGATAGGCAACGAAGAAAATTTGATGTTTATTTTTTAAGTCTGTTTCTTTAAAATAGGCATTTCAGGAGCATTTTCGCCCTTCAGGTATACATCGTACTTAGGGTAACGGTAGCTGTGCCAGATGATCGAGTTTCTTAACTATTTTTTTACCCATTTCATTTTTCTTTTTAGCGGATTTAATTTACTGAAAAGCGTACGTATGAAGGCTAACTTGAACTCTATTTTGAAATGAGGTGGAAAAATGAGTGATGTGCGGCTTTAGGATCGAAAATGGAGAGAAGGTGTAAATTCTATGAAGTTTTTATTTAAAAGTAAGGGACTATAACGATTCTACGGTGGTGTGTTGGCTTGGTGTTGCTTGGTATGTAGTTCCTTGCTCGTGTCCCCATCTGTTAGCACCAATGCACGAGACCAAACCACACGGGTTTTGCATGCCCTTGAAGGTGGGAATGACTCTGGGATGCGATCCCGAGCCTGTTATGTGGCAGTCGAAAAGTCATCATTTTGTTGATGGGCTGTGGTTGCGATGTGCGGGCGAGCTTAGTTAGACTCGTTGATGCATGGTAGAATATGGCTGAGCCTGGTTTGTTGGCATATGTGAAGCGTGTGTGACGTAGTTCGTCTTTAGTCCTCAGTGGTAGGAGTGTGTGCAGTTCTTCGGGTCGCGGCGGTATATGATGTATTATTATTCTATTTTCCTAATCTCCAAATTACACGAAACGATCAGAAGGCTGCACTTTGTCTAGCGTCGGTCACCAATGTGGATGATTAATGGTGACGCAGAAACAAATTTATAAAAAATAAATTTAGTTTTAGTTAGTTAAGAAAATTTAATAATATTAGCCAACATGACAACACCTCGACGAAAAGCTTACTGCTGCGTCTTCCCGCATACTCTGCAATATTTCTTAGAACACACGCATACAAAATAAATAAATAAATAAAATTGCAACTCAGTTCTACAAAATGAAAGCCTCGCATATTGTTTCCATAGCAATACCATAAAACTATAGCATTCTAGATGTCTAGCAAAAATTTAATTCAGTTTTCTGATAAGGATTTTCGAATAGGGTTACTTTGCATTGTACTTTTGCGAAACTTTTAACAGAAAGAGGCACAGCAATTATTTAAATGCAAAAATTATATATAATTTATTGAAATTTTAAAGAAAGATAATAAGAAAAAAAATCGAAATCCATGAATTGTTCCTTCCCTAATGTCCGACTGGTTAAGTCTGCAGAATGCTGGCAACTACTCTGTTTTCTTGGCAAGAACGGTTATATGTTTAAGTAACTTTATCTTAGGGTGCTTTATATGTAGGCGCTGTTTCTTGGCCTTCGACAGCTTTGTCGTAGTTAACGCCAGTCAGCCATATTACGCAGATTAAAGTTCGAGGTTTAATTATCCTTATGTAGAAAGAAATCTGAGATTTAAGAAAATATCTCTCTCTCGTCAGTAAATTTAGATACAGTGATTTTACCGCACTTGACAAAAAATTGTGGATGATTCTTAAAAATAAAATTTATTCTGTACTTTTATTTCGTATTTTTGGTGGTAAAAGCATATTTATGTGATGCCTTCTCTTTGCTGTTATAAATCATGAGTAATATTTAAGGCATTCTTGGCGTATGATGGCCGGTATAGAATTGTTAGGCGTTTGATTGTGCTAAGCCGCGTCCAATACTCAATTTCATTGCCAGAATATGGATGATGAAACTTCTGTGGAATAATTGGCTATGTATTACTACCTCTCATGGATCATACATTGCCTTAAGAGGTAAAAAATATCTAGCGAATGAAACAATAAATTCATCTTCAAGTGTTCAAATAAGGGCTTGAAAGAACAGCTTAAGCGAATATGCGTGACGATGATACCCAAAATGTTCTTCTGTCTACTTCTTGCTGTAATACGTTAAGCATTGCGGTGAACCTTTCTTTTGTGAAAAACTCGGTGCTATTTCTTCAAACCTTTGCTAGTGATTTTCAGATATCAACTTGCAACAAGATGCTATTGATATCTGGAAATGCCACGCTGTTGACAACTCCTGACTCTTAGCTTCTGCCAATTTCATCAATAAACTATACGTTTATTATTTTTGTTTTTCTCTTGTTAACGATCATTTTTGACCTAAACTTGAAACATATATAGAAATACTCTTATCTAAAACTTTACAAGAAATCAGACTTGTTTTAATAAAATATTATTCAAGTGCGGGGCGCAATTAAACGTAATTTAATTTTTATTCGCACATATTTCTGTAATTTTAGAACAGTCTTCTGTCACAACGTATAAATCATGGGCTCTGAGGCAGAAAATAGTCTAAGATAAAGACAGAAAAACTTTGTACGTACTCCTGCAAATGAATGCCACTACACGATCAGAAGATCGCAGCTGAAACTCCTATATTAGGCAAGGGGGATACTCCAACCAAAATCACCCGGGAGATTCTACTATTCTACTTTGCCCAAGCATCCAAGTCTCACACCGGATACTTACGGACTTTTTAACTTTCTGCCTCCGCACTTTCGAACCGGGTTCAAGAGGTTACCACTCCTTTGCCCTAGGCACTGCTTGTGAGGCGTAACCTATTGACCTAGAAATCTGCCTGGTCGTCAAAAATGCTCCCATCGTTACTACACTCACTACTTCGTAAGTTCTGAGATAAAGAAGTTCTAAGATAAAAAAATAATGTACTATTAATCTGCTCCTCTAGATAGAGATTTAATGAACATAATCTAATATTCTAATTAATGAACGACCAGGCAGATTTCTATGAATTGCGATTAAAGCCGACATTGGAAATTATAAAAAAATTCCTATCTACGTTTGAAATTGAGCGAGAATTATGGCTCGAATGTGGACAGCGCTTTTTCGAATGTCGCATGTTTTTCTTGCAGGAAACTTTTGATTTTGACTATGCTTTTACTTAGACTTTTAATTTGAAGTTATTACCAAGTGATATTATGCAATATCTAGTGACTCTTGAAGACTCAGGGCGTCATTTATTTTTGATTTTGCACCTACCAGATTTCTTTCTTTCTTAAGAAGTTCTTAGTGCTGTGTATCTTTAACGACCTTCAGGGTGTAGGTATAGGTGTAGGTTGTAGGTGCATGGAAATTTACTACTTATTCAAGTGTCAGTTTTGGTATCGAAATATAATTAGAACGTTAATGCAAAATTAGATGAAAATTCAGCATGCATTTATAAAATATTTAATGAATATTTCCATAGCTTGCATTATTACCCTATTACAATAATTCAGTTTATTATAATTTTCTGAAAATGCCTTTAGATTGTAATTACAGTTTTTATTTCAGCGACTGTTCAAGTCTGAAGTCTGAAGAATATGAAGCTGAAGAAAAAACAGTTATACCATACGAAGTGCCTCTCATGTAATGGCAAATTCACATACTAATGAAACTATGTGATATTTTCTTGACATTACGACATTTTTGAAGGAAAGAAAAAAGACACAGAGAATAGTTGTTACTCCTCGAACTTAAAGACTGTGTCTCCGTTGCGTTGGGAATATAGTTAACTTCTGACAAAGGAAGCAATAATCTCTATTTTTCTTATGGACAAAAGTAAAAAATGATATCAGGTTCTATTAGCACTAAATGAAGATTCAAAATCTGCTTTCGTATGAAAAATTTGATTATCATTCTGAAATGCTTAATATACATTGAGAGTAATTAGAATTTTAAGAAAAGTTATAAATCTGGATAGATAGACTAAGTAAATGTTTAGTGTACATTACTGGCATCCAATTTATACACTCATACAGATTACCTGTAAATGATTCAGTAACAAGTTCATCTTCTGAAAACAAGATGTCAGACCGCGAAACAGCTACACATGGAGACGTTAGCGGCAAACAGAAGAGAACCCGAAAACCCAGTGCCATGCAGAGGATTCGCAAGAGAGTGGCGAACAGAGATCCTATGGAAGTGCTGGTATTCGAAAGGAAACTTCTAGTGGCTGCTACTGCAGGGATAGTTCTTGCCTTTATCCTATGGACCGTATCTGTAAGCACGGACTTTTGGTTCCATGTGACTTCACCAGACGACTCTCCCATCTATATCAATAGAACCAACACTTTCTTCTTGAGAAGCCACTCTGGTCTGTGGAAAATATGCAAACTTGTCTATCTAAATGGATCTTTGGCTGGCTTACCTACCAGTAAGTGTATTTCCTTTTAATATTTTTATTATTTGCAACATCGGTGTCATTTCAAGACTTAGTAATGGTCATTAATTGTCATCTGTGTCAGTTAAGTACATGGGAAACATTTATTCATATAGACTGAAAATGAGTCATAAATTGTGAACTAATGACATTTTAATGCAGTGAACGTTCTCTGAAGTTATTCTTCCTGATTGTGGATAGTTCTGGCTTTATGTGGAGGTAGGTTATCCTGAGAAGCCATTAGTCTGCGATGACAGTCATCGATTGGCGTATTATTTAGTCTCTTTAAGGATTTTGGAGTTTGTTCAAAATAATGAGGTAGATGTGTAGTACGTCGATTCGTTAGTATTTTTATTTCAACAAAATTACAAATCAGTTTTAAAGATAAACTACGAGTACTTCACCTAAAACAAATAAATGAATAAGTAAATTAATTTATGCCCAATTTGCTTAAATGAAAAGAAAACAAGATTTTAGAAAAAAAGCGGACATGGGTGCTTGTCAGTTTCAACGGTGACTATAAAATTCCAATGAAAACAAAATGCCACCAGGTTCAGACTCCACTTAAAATGTACATTTAAATAATGGAATTGTGATAGAAATATTAAAAAAACTTATTTTAATTCATTTCGGTAGTTATAAACCTTACCTCTGTCAGGAATAGGAGATTTGAAATAGCGAGCTAGTTGTCCATGCGAAAGAATTTCTTTTTTTCTTTATTTTTCACATTCCATCTCCATTTGGCTTTCGCGGTAATATATAATTTTATTTCTTGCCGCTTTTCGCAAATTTGGGCGGAGGGCAAAATACAAATTTTCTTGTAAGAATGCAAAAGCTTCCCTTTCTCCTGGGAGTAAATTAAAAATTGTTGTCATTTTGATTTTTTTATCTGTTATTTTGAATATAGTTAAGTACATGGGGCTATTCGCCTTAGAATAAGGATGCCTTCATGAAGGATTGTCAAAGGGAAACTGGATCCCATTCATATTATACATGGGGAAAACCACAAAACCAATCATGCAGCCAGCTCGTTCACCTGGTTGCATTCTAACTCAGGGCGAACTATCGTTACCGCACTCTTTTACGGCTCAGACATTAGCAGTGCACCATTATTTAAAATCTACTAGGAGAAACAGCAATTCTTACGAACAGGCGAAAAAATTATTTTGCAAATCTTATATCTTGATTTTGATTATGGTTTCAGATTTGATATATCATCTGAAGATAAACACCATTAAACTTGGCAATTAATTGCTAGTAAATGGTAAAGCCCACAAATACAAAGAGAATTTTCGCATTGGAGGAACAAAGAAGAAAATAAATTATTTAATTAAAAAACTGAAAACAAAACTTGACGACGTAAGTTTAGTTTTGTATTTTCAAAAATACAAAACAAATTGCTTATTAAATTGCTTATCACTGCTTATTAAAACAAGCATCCATTCAATTCTACCAATCCCATTGAGACAGACTACCAAAAATACTTTGAATGACTTATAGTAATTAAATGCATGAAGTTTACATTTGATAATTTATTTCCCTTTCAATATATAAAATGCGAAAAGTATTGTTAATGTAATTGCACTCACAAAATCTTTTTCATGCGTCTAAAATGTCGGCCCATTCTTAGTTATTATGATGAATAGGATTTATTTTATGATCCATAAAAGTTTTTAATCTAACTGCTGAATATTTATTCAAATATTATTTAAATTGTTTTCCGAAAAAATTATAAAAAATTAAATTTGTATTCTATGATAGTGTTCGGAAACCGAAAATTATTGATAACTTTTATCGATTTACTGTATTTAAAATGACTTACCGGCATAAAGGTAGAGGAGCCGGCATATAAAAGGCACTAAAACCATCCTTATTTTCTGCTTCTCAAAATTCCTTTCAGTGATGCCCAAGTAACCGAGATAAAGTATTTTTAACAGTACCATCCTTATATTAGAAATAAAAGGCATTTATGCATCGAGTCGACGTGGATTATAATATAACATAGAGAACAAAATTCCAGATTAAGATTTTTATAGAGACCCTAAGCATTTCAAAGATTTTGGGATCTCCATGTATGTTTACGCCAGTTTTTTCACCATTTCTTCTCTCTCTCAGTTTTGGTTTAGCTGCACCACGGTAAAACCAAACACCAGCAATGGGAAATTTTTTGGCGCCATCTCCTGAACATTTGGGAATCTTTCTGTGATGCCTTCTTTTCCAGATACGCTTGTAAGGTATTTTCTCCTTCCTTTCCACATGCCTCTGAAGTGTAATTGGAAGCATATTCGACGCGTATGCGAGAGGTCCAGGATTCGAGTCCCTGTGAAGGTTTTGCATATTTTTCATGTCTCATGCAAAATAACCTAATGACTCTACAAGTGGCGCCTGAAGTAGGTAAAAAAGGTGGACTGTAATTCGTCACCACCAGGATTTGGCGAGTGGATCCCCTAATCCCCAATCGCCGTTTAAGAGGGGGGAGTATATTAAGTATTTTCTCTCTCCTTTTTGCGTGCCTTCGCGGTGTAACTGGAAACACACTCGATGCGTATTCGGAAGATCCTAAGTTCTAATCCCGGAGAGGGCACTGCAGATTTCTTCAGTTTCCTGTCATCGAAAAAATTCTTCATGATTCTGAAGTGGCGTCAGAAATAAAAGACGGTGGAAAATAATTCGTCACCATCAGGATTTGGCGATTGGTTTCCCTGATTTCCAGTCGCCCTTTAAAAGGAAGTATATAAGGTATTTTCTCCTACCTTTTCGCATGACTTGCATGTGTTCTAATTTGTAGCATACTGCGAATCTCGACGCGTACTCGAGAGGTCCATGGTTCGAGTCCCGGCGAGGGCATTGCACATTTTTCACGTGTCCTGCTTCAAAATAGCTTAAGGACTCTGTATCCTAAGCATATGCTTATATTGCTTAATGGTTAATCCTGTTCTGGGAATATTTCACTTTGATGAAAACTAATACTACGATTCGCTACTGTGGTGTGAGATGTTTTACGTCATATGAGCGGACAAAAATCTACAAAGGATGTAAAATAAATCAGTTGAGGCTAATTTTCCATAGTTTATTAGGAAATCAACAGTATTAGATGTCAAATATACGTAGAAAATGACATACTGGAAAACTTTTGCCTCCAAAATCTATGCGAACTGTAAGAGTGCCCTTACCCCCATTGAAGAAAAAGAAAGCTGTTTAAAGAAGCCAAACATAACAGTAAATGGTGATTATGCTTTATTGGCAGTGCACGTTTTATGAAACAAGCAGTTTTTCTGTTTCATAAGAATTTAATTTCAAAAATATAAAAAAAAAGCATCTTAAAACAATGTAACAATCTAATACCACTTAAAAATGTTTGTTTATTTTAGCCTATTTCGTATGCTATTGTGCTAAAGTCTCTGGTATTGGTAAAGAGTAGTGAAAATATTCGAATCGGCAGTTCAGAATGGAATCTAAATTCAGTGGAATTCTTCCTTACTCTATTCTTCCTTCCACGCTCAGCGAAAAGAAAAAAATGAGAGAGGTATTTCTCACTGTTTCTTTAATCTTGTTTGTCTCATGGCATCTCATTCAGTCTTCTCCGCGATAAGCAGTAGTCTTTTTCTTTCACAGTCATCACGTTCCCTATTATCGTCCCAAGACCTTCATGATTGAATAGGCAGCAGGCGTAAGTGAAGGGAGTGATAAGAAGAAACTGCCTTCCCGAATAGGCTTTTTCTCCGTATAATGCATGAGTATGAGAACATAAATAAATAACCGAATCTTATTTGAAGAAGAGGCAACAGTAAGAAATTAAGATATATTTTTAAGGACAGATCAGCGATATAATTTAGATTCAGATAAATGTATTCAGTTATTGAGAGCAAAATAAATTTATACTTATATTCAGTGCAATTTTATTCTTATGTCATTTAAGCTGATATCACTGCACTCAAAATGAAAGAAAATTAAAATTTTGGGCCAACCTTGATTATAGATTAAAGTCGGCGGATATGGATGAAGACTGGCAAAAAGTATCTTCAATTTTAATTTATTTCAATTTAACTATGGTTTACTGTATTATTTAATTGCTAATAACTATCAACACGTTAAATGTGTTATTATTATTTTGTAATAATTAAATCTATATAAGAAGCAATGTTTAAATTAACTCTCCTGATGTCTTATTGGGATTTCTAAATTTTGGTTTTAAAAATATTTTCAGTATTTTAGAGTTTTTATTTAGTTTGTTTAGATAATCCTTATTTATTTAATTAGTAAAAGAGTTAGTTACAGAGTATCTTCTTCTGTAGTCATTAATAAATTCAATTAGGTAATAAATTTTTCTGAAAACTTTTGTTTGCATAAATTTTATTTAAATGCATATTTATATTGCTGTCTTAGTACTGCAAGAATTAGTGGTAAGAAATTAGATTAAAGCCTGAGTAAAAACTTTAAGGCCAGTAAAAATTTTTGAGAAAATGTAAAATGAAATAAAAGGGATTCAAATAATATTAACTATTAAAGTTCATTGATAAGAAATAAATGCTATAAACATAATTTGTAAATACATAATTATGAGAAACATGTGGTTATTTACAAAGTTAGTATTTCTGCCTGAGTAAAACTTTAAGGCCACCAGTCATTTTTTAAAAATAAATATAATATAATCGTGTAATTACCATTGAAACTACTACCTTGTGACAACGCAGCAATTTTTATATTTGTCATACGTTTCTTCGAAGTATTGGTGATCTTTGTGAAGATGGAGAAGGATAAGAAGTTAACTGTACGTGAAAGAGGAGAGATCGAGCTTTGTCTTCAATTTTTCTTGATCAGTTTGTCAATTTGTGTCTTCTATTTGTCTTTTTCTTGAATTCAACAGGAATGAGTAGTCGGTGCTATTGCGATAAAGATAGGAAGGATCAAAGACTGTAGTCAACAATTTTTTTAAATTGAAAGACAATTATAGGTAAAAAGAATACTGGGGGAAGACCTAAAGCTTTGTCCTC